TCTCTCTCTCTCTCTCTCTCTCTCTCTCTCTCTCTCTCTCTCTACTCTCTCTCTCTCTCTCTCTCTCTCTCTCTCTCTCTCTCTCTCTCTCTCTCTCTCTCTCTCTCTCTCTCTCTCTCTCTCTCTCTCTCTCTCTCTCTCTTTCTCTTTCTCTTTTGGAAGTTTTTTCAATTTCTTTCTAGATTTTTATTAGTATTGATATTATTACTATTATTATTATTATTATTATATATTATTATTATTATTATATATAGCCATGATTGTCATAATGTTATTAAGTACAATTAGTAAACTAAATCACAGTGGGCATGGCATTTTTTTAAGGTTAATGGATGTATAGTAAGTAGCCCAATTGGAAAGTATAAATTTTACAAGGATACTTGTTTATTAACTGATACTTGTTTATTAAATTTTTCATTCTGTGGCCATCAGGATGCGATTACAGCTCTTTGTAAATTTCTATTAAAACACTTGAGAGGGCCAAAATAATTGCACATTGGGAAAAAGTTATATCCAGTGTAATTAATCCATATGTAGTGTGTTCCCGTCAGTGTTTACTACTGTTTTACTATTTCTTTGTTTCTTTATTTATCTTTTATTTTTCCCATAGTTATGATTTTGCTTAATTGTTATGCCTTGGTTCTAGACGCACGACCCTCTGTGGCACCTTGGACTACCTCCCACCAGAAATGATTGAGGGGCGCATGTATGATGAGAAGGTGGACATCTGGTCATTAGGGGTGCTGTGCTATGAGTTCTTGGCAGGCAAGCCCTCCTTTGAATCCACATCACAGTCAGAAACCTTCAGAAGATTGCTAGGTAGATATCAATTCCCATTGCACTTCTCTGAAGAGGTCAAAGACTTAATTTGTAAGGTGAGTACATGTGGTGTTTGATGCACTGTACCAGGTATTGAATGTTTACATGCACTGGCCTGTGTTTATTATTATTATTATTTATTAATTATTATTATTATATTATTATTATTATTATTATTATTATTATTATTATATTACTATAGAATACCTGAGGTATTGACCAATTTCTGATTTTTTTTTTTTTTTTTTTTTTTCTTCTTCTTTCTGTCTTTTCTTTTCTTCATTTAATGAATATTATGATAATTAAGTTAGTGATATAAAAATGCTTTCCTGAAACTTGTAGGAATGAAGATCCTGTAGGCCTAGTAAGTTACTCCTTGGTGCTGAAGTGGTTGCAAAACCATTTGTGTAAATAAGAGAAAGCATAATCACAGTGCACAGTGTATATATCCAACACCAATGGTGTTAAATCATAAAATGTTATTATGAATACCTTTTTTTTTATACAGTACTTATTTTGCACTAGAATTTAGAATTTTTGTCATTTTTATTTTGGTATTTATTATTAGTGCTTTTAGTATTATTATTATTTTTTATTATTATATTCATTCCAGTTGCTACGGTACAACCCAAAGGAGCGCCTTAGTTTAGAAGGAATAATGGAACACCCATGGATTAAAATGCACTATGACCCTTCTGTTCCTCCTCCAAATCCATGTGCCAAGTGAAGTTGTCGGTAAAGCTGCTGTGGCCCAAGTTCTTTGATAAGTTTCCTTCTTGCAAAGCATTTACATATTTCTTATATTATTATTATTATTTTGATCATTACCACAATTTTAGATTGAATATTTGGAAAAATTGCAGTCAATCCTAGGATTAATGCTATTTTTCCTTTTCTTTTTACTTGAGAGACTGTTACTTTCCTTATCTTTATTACTTGGAATATATTGTTCCTTCTCTTTTATTTAGAGAAATGTCCACTTGTAAGAGTAAAAAATGTACTGAATATTCTAGGATGCTGGTGTGGTAGAAGTGTGTTATGTATGAGAAAATAAACTTGTTTGAATGAGAATATTTATGTGGAACAATTTACAACATTGTATTTTATAAATGGAGAAAATTTTGTGGTTTGACAGCTGTAATGACATGTATTTTAACTGATTATTAGTGTGCGTGATACATTGCCAGGTTTCTGATTTATATGATAAGGTTTTGTAAAAGATGCCCAATATATTTTAAGAGTCCATTGAAGACATATAATCAGGTTGTTTTATTTTTGTGTATTATTTAGATTAATCTGTGATAAGACTAGATTTCCGTCAAACCTGTTATTCTTAATTTCCCATTACTCTCCCAGGAACATGAGAGGATGTACACCCATGTTTACTTTATGTATTTGTTAAAGAGGGTTTTTGTATGAACCCTCAGAGTCACTTCTATTAGCTAATAAAAAATGCAATAATAATGATTCAACTTGTATTTTCTTGTATTCGTACAGTGAGTCCCTGTTAAGCATATTTTGCAGTAGCACATTGTTAAAGTGCTTTCAGTGAATATCAAATTTTGATGGCAGGGTTAAAAGTAAATAACTGTCCATCTGTCCATAATAAAAGTGCACAGATTATGAAGTTCAAATATTTTATATATAGCAATCACCCTTTCTCTCCTCGCCCATCTTTACCCTTTCAGCGCCATACTATTCTGTACTCCTATATGACTTTTGACGTGCAGCACATTTAATTGGCTAACCCCCCTCTTTACCCTTTTCTCTAATACATCTTTCTATAGTGCCTATGACCTTGATGTCCAGCACATTTATCTTCCTTTGTAACCATTAACCATTATATACAGAAAGTACTAAGCAGCAGAAAAGGTTTATAGCTTCAGAGAAACCGGCCTTTTCACTTGGACTGAGTATTTATCTAAAGAAAATTCAGGTGAATACACCACAGTATTTTTTAATAATTTAATTGATGTATATGGATGTAGGTATGTATATAAGAATTTTAAAATGTGGATGGGTTGCAAGATGGACAGCCTAACCAACTTCTCTAAGTTTTCAAGGTAATAAAATAGGAGGAACACATTGGATTGATTAATTCATATCAGAAATGATGACTTCAACAAGTAAATATACCCAATTTAGGGTTTCCTGACCATAGGCAGCTTGGCAGAAGTGCACTTTTGTTTGTCAAAAGATTTACGAATGTTCACAACGTGCAAATGTTTTTTTACTGCCATGTAGATAAGACAAGAATATGAAAATCTGTAGTTGAATCATTGCCCAAGAGAGATTTCACCAAGCAATCCCCTAAGTTAATTTATTAACATTCTATCTCTTAGCGTATTGGCTACAGGTTTTTGTACTGTCCACTGGAACATTTTTTGGCACACAAATGGCTCTGCAAATGCACAGCCACTATGAAGCCAATTAGTAAACCCTAGTGACTTTCCAATTCCTTAAATTTGTGGGAAAGTTTTTTTTCCAATACTATTAATATCAATGTTTTATTTTATTATTAAGATTCATATTATGCTATTGAATAACTAATAACAATAAAAAACTAAATTGATTTTTAAAAAGTCTTACCAAAGTTAAAGTAAAAGGTAAACTAGAGAGAGGCAGTATGAATAATGAATGAATGAATTGACTCCCATCTTGGTATAGACACTAAGCTAAATTACCATGGGCATGGCATGTAGTCATACCATGACACTCACTCACACACTTCTTCCTCCAAATGGTTTTAGTGTTGCTATTCCAAATATCCATAGGTCATCTGAAACTGCAGTGAATGCTACTTTGGATATTTTTTCTACCTCCAATTATCAGTATCCATGTAGATATATAATGTAACATCCCTGAAGCATACCTGAACTTGTAGTAGTAGAAGTAATGGTAGTAAAATACTAATATTAATATTTGTACTAGCACCTAACAGTAATAATTGTATTAATAGTAGTAATAGCATTAGTAGTTGTAGTACTAATAATAGTAACAGTGAAAGAATACTTAATACTAGTAAAATTAGTAGTAGTAGTAGTAGTAGTAGAGAGCAACAGTAATAATAGTTGCAGATAGCAGCAACAGCAATTGTATTAGTATCAGTAGTACTAGCAATAATAGTAGTAGTTGTAGTAAGTAGTCATACAAGTTGCTGTTGACATGTGAACAGAAAGTGATGGTAATAATAATAGTATTTTTATTTCATTATTAATATAATAAGTAATGATAGCAAATATGATAATGACAATGATGGTATGAAATTTATGATCATGATAAAAAATATAAGAGTAACAATGACAATGATATATGTAATGATAATGATCATGATCATAATTCTAATAATGATAATAAACACTGATAATGGCAGATAAAGAATAACAATGATAATAAACATATTAATGAAAATAATAATAATGGCAAGAGAAAGAAGGGGAGAGATAACCAGAAAAGACAAGTATATTATAAAAAGAGAGGAGGAGAAAAGAGAGAAGTGAATAAAAGAGGGGGGAAATTGAAAGGAGAGGAAGAAGGGGGAGGGGGAATAAAAGAGGAGAGAGAGATAGAGAAGGGGAAGGGAACGGAGGGATAATAGAGAGATATAACAAGCAAGAAACTTGAGAGGGAGATGTACTCCAGTACAGGTTATAAAAAAATCAAATAAATAAATCAAAGGCAAAAAAAAGCAATTTGAAGCTTTAGTGTTTATTATAATACTGCTTCCATGTGTGCCATAGGAACTTGCAAGCTTACATGCACAGTTGCACTATATGTACTGCATACGTTTTAACCCTTAGTACCTAAACATTACTATATACAAGCGTATTTACATAGCCATTGCACCAAATATGATGCATGACTGTTTACAAAACTTTGTACACTAACAATAAAATCTGACAGATATGAAGCTAATGATGAAGACATGATAATATGTAAAGTAGCCTATCGTGTTGAAATAACATGAAGCTAGCAGACAAGGAATATTTTATGTAGCAGTTCATTATGTAGTTTTAATTTACAATGCACTCATAATCTTTAAATTTCCACAAATATACAGTAAATCTAGCCTTCTCATTGTCATCTTGGGAATGACAATACCATCTTTTTGGTAAGCTCTCATTTTTATATACCTAGCAGATGACACTGCACAACTGAATATAAGTTATTCCTTTAATGTTTATAAGGCACAACTTTGCATTATGAATAATAAAAAAATAATGGGTGAAAAATCCCAGAAGTCCACAACATCACTGAAATGCAAACAAAAATCCTTAAAATTTGGTAAGAAATTAAGGATTCTTTTTCTTTCGAGCCAAATGACTATATTCAAGTCTTAAGCAGTTCTTGCAGTGGTGCTGTAATCCTCGCGGCTCAGTTAGCACCTGGCTAACTACAGCTAGAGCTTTACCTTCTATAGAAGCTGTAATATACAGGATTGGAAGCAGGAGGAGACACATTTCTTTAATATGTATATAAAAATGATAACAATGCTGGAGTAGCTGAGGGTAATAAATGATTAACAGTAATAGTAAAAGTAACATTGTAATCATAGAATCAAAAGGTATGAAAAACATTATAATCACATTCGTCTTGGAATCATAATGGGAAAAATTCCCTTCAGTGCTTGTCTATGGTACTGTAGAGAGTTTTACAGATTGAAAATAGCATTCAAAATTATGGATAGACAGAACTGTTATTCAGTAATGTTGCAGGACCAATCTTTATCTTTTATTAATTTTCTGTACATATTTTTTCTTCTATTATTATACATTACTTGGTTCATCACACAATGAGAACTTTACACACAGCCAGATAAAAATATAACAAGAATTTACTTGTCTTTTTTTCATTGTGAATAATTTCGACTAGACACAATATTTCCTTAATAAAATATAAAGAAATCTACAATTAAAATTAACAAAAAGTAACTAGTATTGTACTTCTGCCCATAAAATAATTTCAAACTACTATCTTAAGACTCAGAGCAAAGCAATGGTGCCTGTTTAAAAATTATATTATGAGACAGCATGAACTTAAAAAAAGAGAAAGAAAAAAAAAATATTAAATGAACCCTTTGAAGGTGGATAGGCACCAGTTCTTGACAGAAAAACACTAGTAAAGAGGTACATGATGAAAATTTTACAACAGCAGATAAAAATATTAACTAATGTCATGATCAGCAAAGGCCTCTAAACATAATGAATGTTCCTTCAAAATATTTCTCTTTCTTAACCAACCAGCATCCTACATCAAAACTCAAGTTTCAAAATGACAGAATATAGATGTCACATAATTATATACTGTCTGCCAGTTGGGTCGCTCTGATGTAATCATGTCACTCACATCCTGTGGAGAAAGTGTATATATTATTTTTCTTAGTCAATTATCAACGACTTTAAAACATTAAATATTAAATGTAAACAAACAAAAGAAGTGCTCAACTGTGAATTCAGAAAAATAACGTGTTAAAATCTTATGAAATATATTTAGCACATGATAACAAAAACTATACTTACGAGTGTATTCGGCACACCAACACTTTCTGCAGCAGATATTGCTACTTCAAAATTCTGCCTCTTATTCGATGGAGAGAGACTTTTGTAGCAAATTTTGTCAGGGATGTAGGTGTCCATCAGAGCACAAAGAGCAAGACCATCATTCCAACTGGAGCTGAAGTTTGTGATGTCGACATTGCTGTAACCTATGGTCTTGTTTTGACACCACTTGAGCAATGCATTCCTCTTGGAGCCACCACCTTGAGCCAAAGAAGCCAAAGGATCCTTCTTGTCTACGACAGCACTTATCTATAGGGGGAAAGGATAATAATAATAATAATAATAATAATAATAATAATAATAATAATAACAACAACAAATTACATGAAAAAATATGCAGACAGATAAATCAGACAACCTTTACTCCTATAGTTGTCAGAGAAATTCAAAGCTTACCTGACCATAGCTGTTACGTCTTACAGAGTGGTCAAGCTTGTTGCTTAATATGGAGATCGGTTTGGCTACATTTTCTCCAGGATTCATAGATGATATTTTTCCACTGTTTTTGTCTGTCAGCTGTGACATTTTAACATTGTCTGAGAGATTTGATGAGCCAGTGGAAGGCTTAGTGAAGTTGCTTTGTAAGAATGGTGACTGGGTTACTCCTTCTGTGAAGGAATTGCGTTGAATGGCTCTCAAGGGAGTTGATAATGTTGATGTGCCCAGGGTGTTACCTGCGTCTTTAAGTGGTGAAGTGGAACTACCACGGATGACACCCTGTTTGGAGAAACAAAAATTTGCTAATTATAATATACAACTATTGAAATATTTAATGATGCTTTAATACTTTCACTGCAACATAATCTTTACACAAAACAAATTCAAATCTTGTATGAAAATTCAAGAAACAGAATGTTATACAAAGTTTCCAATAAATGTGCTTCATCTATCTGATTTCTTTCCTGTTTGATCTCACAAATGTACCTCAGTATCAGCTCTTTGAGAAGTGGTCCTGGAGTCTTGTTGTTATTGTTATTATTGTTGTTGCTTTCACTACTTGAGCTGCACAAACTAGATGTAGAGGAACTTCGAGATCCTGCACGGGTCTGTCGAGTTGCACACTCAATGGATTCTGGAAAGACACTTCTTTTCAAAACTTGTTCTATTGATGAAAGTGTAAACAGAAATAAAACATGCCATTTCCTCTTGTTATCTCCACAATTATGCACTTGATATAAATCTATTCATGTATGACTTTAACTAAGTATTTTTGTTGATCCTTTAATACCCTAAATCCTTAATCCACAGCCTAACCTTGCCCCCACTGTAAATCAATCTGTATTTACAACTTGTGTAAGGGGCAAATTTGATCTTAATTATTTGAAGACGTTGATTTTACCCTCCATAAAATGCATATCTTATACTGCTCTGTCAAATTGTTAATTAAGAGTAGAGTATCAGATTTGAACATTCCATTGTATAATAAATATGGGGGATTTTTTTTTTATCCTGTAAATAAAACAATTAATGCATTAAAATCACAATCCATCATGCAAACAAATCATGTAGTTATCATATCTAAGTAAACAAAATATAGAGTAAGAAACAAAATACTATCTAGTAGTTCAGTCATGCTAAGAGGCAACTGTATGGAGAGAGATGTCCTTGGGTAATGGGGTACAGGTTGGGATGGTGGGTGATGTGGTCTCTTGTGACTTGGTGGGAGTTAGAAAGAGAGAACTGTATGAGAAGAGAAACCACTCTGGCAATTAAGAATGACCAGCAGGGTAGAAGGAAATGCAGCCATACCTTGAGGTATGGTAAGCCTACAAAATATATTTCATTTAGGAAGATTCCAGAAATTGTGTATTTTGAAAGTCGGGCCTTCAGCTCCAGAGTGATTTGCACAAAAGCACCCATGTCACCAAACTTTCACTGAAATTTTACCCATCATGTCAAAAAACTGATGATCTATATTGGGAAAGTTATTTAATTGCCTGATCTAGTAGGCTTAGATTTTTGCATTACTCATTATCAAACTAAGCCATTTTCCCTCTAATGGCAGCCTAAGCAAAATGTATGAGCATTCCCTCCCCACCACCAAAGAAGAATAGGAAGAGGAGAAACACAATGATTCACCTATCAGTGACTTGACACGGGAATCCCCTCGTGCCAGAGGTCTAGGGTTGCGACGATCAGCCAGGATGGATGGTTCTCCATTAGGCATGGGCGTAGGCAAGTTCCGGATAGTTCTGCGCTCGCTGCTGCTGCTGCTGCTCATACTGCTGCTGCTTGTGCTACTCACTGGGCTGCATACTTTAACAGCTGCTAAAGAGAACAGAGATTTTTTTTCCCCCAAATTCGTTCCTTTTACCTTTTTTTCTTCTCTATGGAAATGGCTCCCTACATCATGTATTACTATATCCACATTGTAAATTTCAATGTAGTGCATAGGATCATACCCTTTGCCTTCTCCAAGTCTTGGCCAAGTTGCTTGAGCCTGTCTCGCAAAACAGTGTTTTCTTGTGTTAGGCGTTCCAGATCATGCTGTGCTTCCGTCTTGAAGTCATTAGCAACTCGCACTGTCATCAAAAGATCACTCTGAAACTGCTCCCATTCCTCCACCTGCCAATGAAGTCGAGAGAATCATTCAAGTGATACTTATCCTATCAATAAATACTAAATTCTAAGCAAGGTTATTAAAAAATTATCAAATCTTAACCCAACTGAAAAAAATTCCAGAAATAAAAGTTTTCTAGAGGTCTGTACCTGTTTGCTGAACTGTGCTCGTTCCTCACTGAAGCAACGCTCCTTCTCATTCAGCTTCTCCAAGGCTTCATGGAGTTTCTTCTGTGATTCTGAAAGGCTGGCTTTGAGGTCTCGCTTATCCTCCAAATGGTGCTGGCATGTCAGCTTGAGGTCTTCCATGGTGGCTCTTAGCACCTCTGTCTCTTCCTCCAAGTGATGACGCTCCTCCTCCAGCTGTGCCTTCCGCCACCCAGCATCTTCAAGTTGTGTTCGTGCATTGTTACGAGCAACCTGAAAATGAGTAAAAAAGGAAACACTTATTCGCTTGAACTCACTGAACCTTTTACCCACAGAAAAGCAAACAAACAACTTAATTACAATTATGATTGCAAAGCAGAAACAAAAAATGAGGCATAAGCATTAAAATATATAATGAATACTTAGCAAAATACTTTAAAAGCCTGCTTTGAAAAAATAATAAGTGAATCAGCTGAAAACGTGCACTCAAAAAGGAAAAGCATGAACAACTGGCCTACCTTCTGATCACATCCATTTTAGAAAAAAGTTAGGCAAACTAAACTGAGAAAAAGCATAATATATGCTAGATCAATAAAAGATATATAAGGAAGAAAAATAAAAAATCCAAACTACTTTGCAGCAGCTCCCCAAACCATCCAGGCAGCAGAGAATACTGTCCACCAAATGCCTCCATCTTTAGAGCAGACTCCAAACTGTTTTTTCAAAAAAATCAGAATCTTTACCATAAGCTCATCCTGAAGACTGGATATCTGGTCCTTGAGTCTCTCATTCTCACAAGCCATGGCACTCGCCTTTTGCTGGAGAGCTGCATTCTCCTTCTCCAGCAAGTCCTTCTCTTGCCTCACTCTTTCTAGTAGATCTGCCAACTCACTCTTCTCCCCTGAGATTACTGCTGC